CACATGACCTCCACATGCACCCCACCCCACCCCTCACACCACTCACACAAAATAAATATAGGAAAACTGAAACACTCTCTCCTTTAAAAAACAGTTTCTCAAAAATAAAGGCATACCTAAAACTTGATTGCTATGCAGTTAAACATTTTAAAATTTTCCCAAAGACTATCATAAGGACAGCCTAAAATTTTGTTTTCAATTGTTGAATTTGCCCACAAGCCCTGAGCTGTGAGAATGAGTGGATCTCGGATTCTTGTGCCTGCTCTTGGGACTCTTTTCCTCCTGTTGGGTTGCCATGTCCAGCTTCGATATGACAGTTTTTGTTTCATCTTATTACATTTTGCTTTGTCCTGTTTTGTGGTTATCTCTTAGAAGCCTGTTCTTTTCTAATGAGAGACAGAAAGGGAGGTTCATAGGGGAAGGGAGGTGGGAAGGAAGTAAAGGGAGGGGAAACTATAATCGGGATATGTTGTATGAGAAAAAATCTAGTTTCAATAAAAGAAAAAATATTAAAAATAGAACTGACCACTAGAGGGTGGTAACAAAATTATTAATGGAATCAGCAACCTGAGGCCAGGCTGTGAAACCTCAGCAGGATGTACCTGTCCAGTGGTAACTATTGAGGCACTGACTTTCTGAACACAGCCTCCTATCACTTCTCAATTAATAGTAATGTGCTAAACAATTGCAATCATTCTTCTGTGGCTGCACCAATGGTTTTCAAAAGCCCAGTGATACAGATAGATCAACAAAGGTCTGAGCACTCCCTCTGGCAGAAGGTACTTTTATTCATCATATCACAGAGTTTAAAGGACATTTGCTTCTCATAACAATATTATGGGGCACTTTTTCCAGAAATAAAACCTTAATACCCCTTTTTAAAACATGGCTTTTTGTGTTCTGTTTGTTTTGGGCTGTGAAGTCCAGTTTGGTTGGCTACTCTTCCCAACTCAGTATGTACACATTCTTTTTAAACACTGTAAAGCCTTGAGGGTCCCCACTCTCTCTGTGTGCACAGTGCATGGTGACTATTTCAAAGAGTACTGTACATCAAGGGGGCAAAAGGGGGACTTTTTCTAATAATGGAGCCTAATCAAACCACATGATTAAGATCAGCCTACCACCTGTCACACTGACAGTAGGCTGACAGTCTTGATATGTAATGGAGATGGTATGTGCCTCTGTGTTCCTTCCAGTAACCCTTAACTACAATGCAATCATGATTAAAATGACAGGCAAAACGGCTGGCCAGGACATCTCAGAACTACCAAGATCATCAAGAAGAAAGTAAAAAAATGGCACAGACAAGAGGAGGCAAAGAACACCAGAGCAACAACAGTACTAAGGTATCATAAATGGGATTTTGAGACAAAAGAAAATTCCATAAAAATTAAGGAAATCTGAATGAAATATAGACTTAATAATGTATCAGTGTTAGCCCACTAATTCTAACAAATGAATGTTGATAGGAGAAAATTGCTATGGGGCACAGAGAAATTTTTGTAGTACCTTCACAATTTTTCTGCAAAGCTCAAACTGTTGTAAATAAAAATGGGGATTTTTTTTCTCTCACTTAAAGAAAAATGAGGGAAACACTAGCATTCCAACCATCCCAAGATAAACAGGATAGCAGCTGTCTGTGGTCCCCACATGTCTAGCACAATTTTTCAAAATAAAAGTAGCAAGAGAGTCTCTACAACATCTTCTCCTGAGACTTGGTCAGGACCAAGAAGACTCCATCTCAAAGTCAACAAGCAGCCCCGACTCTGACACCAAAGGACCATCATGGTCCTCAGAATTTATCTTCTCCTGAAGACAAGAGGGAGACTCCATCTCCATGTGAAAAGCGATTAGATGGCCAACTCAAGTTCCCGGCCAGTTTCCAATGCTCACAGATGCACGGTCTGAGGCACAGTGCACTACATTTTTGCTGCTTCTCAGCTTTGGGCTTGCTTTGCTCTTCGAGGGCTTTCTATCCATACTCCTATGAGAGACACTGTCATAGCATGCTACAGACTAGCAGTGGCAGCAACAGGAATTCATTTTCTCATACTTCTGGAGGCTGTAAGTACGGGGATGAGGTGCTGGCAGAGTCGCCTCCATGTGAGGTTTCTGTCCCTGGCTTACAGGTGGCCTTCTCCATGTCATCACATGATCTCCCCTGAATGTGTGTCTATGCACTAATCATTGCTTCTAACAAGTACACAGTTATATTGGATAAGGATCTGTGCATAAGAGTCCTTCCCTAATTACCTTTATAAGGAATTGATTTCTAAATACACTCAATTGTATAAACTGGAATTTGTAGGGGACATGATTCTGTTCATAACCTCATCCATCTGTCTCACCTAAGGTAAGCAAGCTTGACCTAGCTGCAACCATTTTGAGTTGCAACCACCATGCCTGCCCAGAGCGGCCACCATGTGTTTTCCTGCAGCACTATACTATTTCCAGATTACAGGCGTGTGGAATTCTACAACCAAGACCCTGGCACTGCCACCACCAGGAAAGTGCCTGACAGCTTTACTGCCACTTGAGATAAACCAAGTAACAGCAACTTAGGTGAAGCCAGTTTTCATGACCACTCTCTAAGCCCTTCACCCTCACCCAAATCATTCGGATCCACTGTTTGCCTGCCCACCTTTGGCCACACTTCCTTCTGTGAGCCCTCCATGGTGCTTTATAATACTCCATCTGCCTGATTCTTCAGTCTCTGGGCACCTTCCGCCTCTGGCAGCCAGGTTTTCTCATGGGTTTTTCCCAGAACACTCCCCTTTCCTGTCTTGCAATCCTAGCGTGGTTTGTTTACATCTCAAACACTTGATTTATTCAGATTATGTCTGTTCTCCACAGCCCCTCCTTTACGCCTATCATTTTAGCAGTTCTTCCTTAGATGAATGTTGGTTCAATTCCATAAATCAAAGCCACAGAAAGAAGGAAATCATCAAGGCATATGAAGAACTAGAATGCCTTTGTGGGGACCTAAGTCTGGCAATAATAAGAGAGGACTGGAAGGCAAGGTCTGACTGCAAGGTGCTTTAGATTTTGTCATAGTTCTATTATGGAAACACCAAAGTAGCATATGATTACAATGATAATATTATGCTACTTAGAAACAATCAAACTTCCCCAACAACTTCTTTCTTCCAAGGCCTTTTCTGGCAGTAGGGAGAATGCACCAGAGGCTGGAATACAAGCCAGGTGAGGCATAGGAGCTTCAGCTGAAAAACTACCATAGGGATATCTCTGGAAGCTTTGGGTGGGAAGAGGTGTAGGGCTGTGAGTCAAGGCTTTGCTATGTAAGCCAGGCTAGCATAATACTTACTGCATGGCCCAGGCTAGCCCCAAACTCATAGCAATTGTCCTTCCTCAGCCCGGAGGCTGAGATTACAGTCATGCACCACCATGCCTAGCTTTTAGTATAACTACTTTTATGTATTGTTACAGAGCTAAGCTATGGAGCTCAATTTGGTCAAATGCCAGTCCAGATGTTGTTGTGAAGGTATTCTATATCTGTGATTACTATTTAAATTAACAGGCATCCAGAAAACCTAGTTGTCCTCCATAGCATTGGTAAGCCTTATCCTTGAGAAAACCTATTCACCCTCTGTAGCATTGGTAAGCCTTATCCACTGAGTTGAGTGCCTTGAGAACAATACTCAAGTCCCTAAAAAAGAAAAGAACCCTGCCTCCAGGACAAGATCAAATCCTACATTAGTTTCTCACTAAACTCTAACTACAATACCAATTTCTGAAAACTATTTTCCACCTCCAGTCTGACCTGGGGATTTGGGTCTTGGAAACCCTCAATCACAGAGACCAATTTCCTAATTTAAATCCTTGCCTTCTTTCTTCTCTCTTCCTCCTCCCTTCCCCCTCACCCCACCTTTTCCTAGTCTTTACCTTTGCCTGAAGAAAAGAGTAATACAGGTTGTATAAACAAACAAACAAAAAAGAGTAGAGACCAATGGGGGTTTACACCTGAAGAAGGAGCAGGGAGGATGAGGAAAATGGGGCCTGGTGGCTAAATGAGCAGCACATCCAACCTACTCCTCTAGGACTGAACAGAGGATGGGGGAGGGGCAAACAAGGTCCTGTCCCATGTCCCCCCACCCCGCCCAGTGATAGATAGCAGTTACA